GGCCCCGGCCCGCCAGCGACGCGGAGCTCCGCGGCCTGGACGGGGAGATCGCTGCGCTCTCCGCCAAGGTGCAGGCGCTGCAGCAGAGCTGCCGGCAGATGGAGACGGGTGAGCGCGCCCGAGCAGCCGCCGCGGGGAGCCCCGCGGGCAGCGGTGCCCGGGCCGCCGGCCCTGCCGGTGATCGGTGCCTCCCTTCCAGAGCTGAGGGACCTGAACAGCTCCATGACAACCCCCGAGATGGCCAGGGAGGTCGAGGGGCTGAGGAAGGACTGCGCGAGTTACGCGGAGAAACTGGAGAGGATTAAGTCGGCCGCCAACCACGTGACTCCGGAAGAAAAAGAGAAGGTGAAGAGGGGCCTGGGGCCGAGCCGGGCACCGGCGGCAGAGCCCGGGCCGGGGCTGGGCCCGTCCTACCAAACCCTCGGCCGGGTCACCCAGTGCCCAGCCCGGCCGACGCCGGTACAGCGCAGGCAGGGGGCTGTGGGGGACGCGGGCTGCTCCGCAGAGCCTGCGCGTGCGATGGTGACCGCTCTCGGGGCGTCTTCGGGAAACAGCCTGAGCTGCCTCTTCCTTGCGAGCCTTTGCTTTGGGCGGTCACCCGCTCTGCGTCAATTCACCCTTCCCCGTCTCCGGTGATCCCTGTCACGGGGAGGTGCGCGTCCCCGCAGGGGCTTCCTGAGCCGCTGGCGCTGCTGAATAACCCCTGGGCGGAGCTGGGACGTGCGGCAGGGCCCCGGCACCGGGCGCCTCCCGCCTCAGGCTCGCGGCGGCTTCGTGGGGCGGCTGCTGCCCGCTTGGTTCTCACGTTGCCTTGCTGTTCGCAGGTCTGCAGCGAGCAGAAGCTGTACTGCAAGGAGTGGCGGAGGAGGAAGCGAATGGTAACGGTCGGGCCATTGAGCGGGGCGGGTGGGCAGCGGTGGTGACAGTCCTGCGGTGACGCTGGGTGACGCTGGCGCCCTGACGGGGACGTGGGGTCGCTGGGCAGCTCGGCACGGCCGCCCCACAGCCCTCACGGCGACCCTGTCTCGCCAGGCGACCGAGCTGCTGGAGGCCATCCTGGAGGGGTACCCCAAAAGCAAGAAGCAATTCTTCGTAAGTGCCGAGGCCGGGCTCGGCCCCGCAGCCCCAGGGCGGCAGCGGTGGCAGCGGGGGGGGGGGCGGGGCCC